CTCACTTACAATTCTTTATCCTTATGCTTAAAGGCTATGTGAGCTTGCTCACTTACAGTTCTTTATCCTGATGCTAAGGCTATGTGAGCTTGCTCACTTACAGTTCTTTATCCTGATGCTAAGGCTATGTGAGCTTGCTCACTTACAGTTCTTTATCCTGATGCTAAGGCTATGTGAGCTTACTCACTTACAGTTCTTTATCCTGATGCTAAGGCTATGTGAGCTTACTCACTTACAGTTCTTTATCCTGATGCTAAGGCTATGTGAGCTTGCTCACTTACAGTTCTTTATCCTGATGCTAAGGCTATGTGAGCTTACTCACTTACAGTTCTTTATCCTGATGCTAAGGCTATGTGAGCTTGCTCACTTACAGTTCTTTATCCTGATGCTAAGAGTATGTGAGCTTACTCACTTAAGGTTCTTTATCCTGATGCTAAGAGTATGTGAGCTTACTCACTTAAGGTTCTTTATCCTGATGCTAAGAGTATGTGAGCTTGCTCACTTAAGGTTCTTTATCCTGATGCTAAGAGTATGTGAACTTGCTCAATTACAGTTAAGTGATTCTTTTGTTTTTGATTTATCTGCAACCAGTTTGCTCTTAAAAGACATTCTTATAATCTATAATATTGTAACTTTTAAAAAAAAAAGCCTCATTACTTTAATAATCCGTTAGAATTTGTGATTATCCATGTTTATGGAATTATTTTATTTATAGAGCATATAATATAACAATAATTACAACGTTAATGACATGAAGTGTAAATACCAATACAGCTGTAAATGTACAAATTTTTGCAATGATTTCATATAAGGTAAATATTTGACAAGATAAGCTTAACCTATGAATTAGACCTTGCATTTATTGCCTCAGTTCCTATTAAAAGCTTTGATGTTTAATTTGTTTTACTGTGATTGCATGGGATTTCTAAACAGAATTGTCTGTCTCTGTCTCAGTAACCCACTGGATTTAAGTAATTGTGTTACAGTGAATAGAATTTGCATTAGATGTGTTGATACTGTGCACAGACCTTATTCATTAGTCTGACCAAGGAGATTGATTGATTGATTGTTGTTTAATGTCAGTTAAAGTCTAAACAGAACTTATGTTATAACATTTATGATGCACTGACTTTAACATAAAACAACTTTACTGCATAAATTATACTAAAATATTTAGAATGATCAGGAATTAAAATCTGATGAACTACAGTAAAAACTGTATATTAAAGTCACCCTTTGGATCAGAGAAAACTGACCAGTCAAGAGAGATGATCTTTGATTTAAGGCTCAAAATGCATCAGTATTACTTACAGCGGGAAAAGCAGAAGGTGACCTGCTAAGACAGGTTTTCGTTTAAAAGAGGTAACCTTTCTAATAGGTTTGACTGTATAGAGTGACTGTAAAAGTGATGCATACAAAGGTTATACCTAGGCCATTCCTTTTCTTATAAACAAAAGGTAATGAATTCTTTTGTAGCAGCCCTGAATTATTTGCAGATTCTGATGCATGTACCTACTTTTCTACTTTTACACAGGTTTGGGGTTATTTTGGAGTTCCACAGATTTTCAATTTGATTTTGCTTCTTTTGTTAATGAGTTTATTGCTTTATTGATTATGCAAAGAAAATATTAAAGTGTGGTTTCTTTCTCTGAAACCTGTTTATACTGTGAATCAAGAACCAATTAATGTGGATTAATTATAGAATTAAAATCTTGTCTTTATGTTCAAATATTTTGGCCTCAAGCTTCACTGAAGAGATTTATCAACTGTCCAAATGCACATATGGTGCAATCAAATTGTTCCTGCTACTGTTATTGTTGGCGAAAGTGTCACTGCTTTAAGTTCAAATGCATATTTTAATACACCTTATCGCTATTTGTCTGCCATTACTGGCCATCACAAAGGTTCCCCGTAAAATTTTGACGCCACAATGAAAAAGTGATTGTTGTATGACGTCAAAAGTTCAACCAGCGCAGATTTCCAAATAGCGATAAGGTGTATAGTCATAAGCTTGATAAGTTGGTCAAATCTCTTGTCTGACCATTCTGTACAAATATAACAAGTGGAATTTGTTAACACCAAACATAGTCTAGAACAGTATTCTTCACAGTGATGATAGGAAAGAAATTAACAGCATTTAAATAATTAGTGATAACAAAAGATATTGAGGATGGTTTCCTGAAATTGATAACTAACATGAGTTATATGTATCAATTAAGTTTATCACATGATTTATATGTATTAATTAAGTTTGTCGTTTACAATATTAATCCATAAATAGATGCTATCCAGTCTACTGCACTGTTATTAAATATGTGTTGACATTGATTAAATAATTAACACATTATAAACCATAATAGGCCACTTTATTGATACAAAAACACAGTGGGATTTTAGTAAAAAAATAGTCATGAGAAACTTTGATTTTCGATCTCTAGTGTATATCATTAACTTAAAAGGAAATTTTTACAGTAAAAAAAAAAATTTGTGGATAAAAAATCGTACTTGAAATGTCATTTTTTCAGTTTTTCGTTAATGCTGAAAAATGTAATTCATTCTTGGATATAACATTTGAATTACTGGAAATTCAGAATTTTTTTTATCTGCTTTTATTATTGCAATTGTCATAATACAACAGTCACAAATTGTCAATCTTAAAAATTCCTGCATACACATAATCCTATCAAAATTCAGAATGTTCATTTTTATTTTATAAAACCTTTCCTGTCACAATTTTTGCAATGATGAAAACATCGCAAAAATTTCTGAATCTGTAGTACCAATGTAATCTATTCTACTGTAAAGTCTCTGACTGTATACTTCAACATTTATAGATTGATTTAGGTTAACAAATTAATGTTTCTCAAAGTTGATGAGAATTTGTGTCTAATCTTTTAAAGGATAAAAGCATGCAAATGTTTCACTTCCAACATAAATTGCAATCTTTTGAAATTAAATGAGAAAATTGAAGTTTTGAACTTTAAGATATCAGTAAGTTTTGACATGATGAGAATTGTGTTTAATCCCTCTGATGGAGTTGATGTAATGCTGATTATCCTTTGATTTGTACTCTGCTGCTTCATTTACTTCATGGAACTTTATTGATGTCGCATGAATAAGAAGCATCAGAACTATATAAACTAATTATATACATGTTCCAAATTCTTAATCAGGCATGAAAAAAAAAGAAATTGGAAAACTGTTGTTTATGGCGGTAAATTAGATTTATTATTATACCCCTGCTTTAAAAAAATGGGGGTATACTGTTTTACCTCTGTCTCTCCAATCCATCCATCTGTCAGTCCGTCCATACATCTCATGAATATTTTTCATCGCATCTTTCTCAGGAACTACATCATAAGGATTTCTGAAATTTGGTTTCAGGGTTTATATAAGTCAGCTATACCGTGTGATGCGTTTTCAGATTCATCACTCAACAACTTCCTGTTTACCGAACACTTACATATTTTAACACTATTAAAATTATCCATATTTGGGCTGGGGTATCATCAGTGAGCAGTAGCTTGCAGTTTCACTTGTTCAAGCTTAAAGAAAAGCCTAAATGTATCAGATTTTAAAGATTGATTGATTGATTGTTGGTGTTTAAACACCTTTTTTAAGCGCCACATTTGGGCTATTTTATGGCGGCTAGTTTTTATTGATGGAGGAAGCCGGACTGCCCGGAGAAAACCATGACCTTCGATAGGAAAACTGACAATCCTAGTTAATGAAGATTGGAGTCGAGTGCACCCGCACGAGCAGTGTTCGAACTCACAACCTCAGTGTTGACTGGCTAGTGATTACAGTAGTAGAACTACTTAGACCACTTGGCCACCTAGGCCCCCCAGATTTTAAAGATGAAATGTAACTATTTACATTTCTGTTTTCCTTGGAGGTCGATGTTTTTGTTATTTTTCCTTATCAAACTATACTGCATTTTCAATTTTATAATTGTAAACTTTTGACTATAATGATTATACCAAGAAATTTTCCAGCAATCAATAAATGGCTTTGAAGGATTGATTTTGCCATTAATTTATAATGGAGGCATTAAATTAAAATTTATTTAAGACCAAAATATTATTTGGCTATTAATTATAATGAAGGTTGACAGACTTTTATAGAACTAAAGATTTAGCAGGAAAATGTAATAGTCTTTGCCTTTAGGAGTTAACTTTATTGAACAATATAAATTGTTTTATTTGCTTTTTGTGGGAAAAGAAAGATGGCTTTATTGTTATCTGCATTAGTTGTGCAGCTGCTATAATTACATTTAGTCAATACATGTCTAACCACATGTGAAATTGATGTATTCTATATTACAGGAAGCTCATGGTATTCATAGCATGGTCATATTAAGGCAGTAAATATTTCCAATCGGTTAACTCTATTTAGAGAGCTATTTTGCATTGTTTGGTTGCTGTCTTATTTATTTAAAACCCCACATCTCTCTTTATTTTTGGGGCCACGGTGGCTGAGGGGTCTAAGTAGTTCATCTACTGTATCACTAGCCTGTCAACACTAAAAAGGTTGTGAGTTAGAACCCTGCACATGGCAGGTGCATGTGACTCTAATTTTCCAGTTTTCCTGTTAAAGTTTTGAAGTTCTCGCTGTGTGCTCCAGCTCTCTCCACCAATAAAACTGGCCACCGTGATATAGCTAATAGTGCTGAAAGTGGCATTAAACACCAACTATCTATCAATCCCTTTTCAAATTTAGAGAAAAGTGCCTGTGTTCCTGAAAGGTAAGCTATAGAGACGCAAGGAGATTATTTCTGTCTTCATTGTCACACTTTCTTTTGGAAATATTGAAGACTTTTAAAAAATGAAAACAGCACTGTATAAATTTCATGTGTTCAGTATTTGCTTTCATCAAGAATGCTCAAAGTCGAATATTTGAACGCCAAGGATGTATTATGGAAACAGTTGAAGAGCTGTATGACCAAAAAGTATTATTTTTTTTCCACTTTAAATATCTAACCTTTATCATTTATTTTTCAGCTTAAAAGAAATGACAACTTAGAACTGAAAGAAGGAACTAGCTATGACCATGACAGCTACAGCATTTATTATGTACAGTCTCGCCAATATTGTAGGAATACTTCTGTTCTGGCTTTATAAAAAGAGAGACAAGAGAGAGAAAAAACCGTCAGAATCTGAGGAATTAGAAAATGCAACAGTTCGTAAAAGACGTTTAAAACATCAGCCATCTTTACTTGCCTTGTTGGGTCTTTCACATACATATAACGACAGGTCATTTTGTGCAATAGAAGATCATTTTCATAGTTTTACAGAAGTAAGTGAGGCATGTAAGCGAGCAGGATTGGAGAAGTGTGGTTTGATCATTGGCATTGATTTTACAGCAAGCAATGAGTGGCAGGGACGCAAAACATTCGGAAGTCAGTGCCTTCATAAAGTCATTCCAGGAAGGATTTATAATCCATATCAAAAAGTGGTGTCTATCATTGGTCAAACACTTGAACCGTTTGATGATGATAATCTTATTCCTACTTATGGATTTGGAGATGCATCAACTAATGATGAAGACGTGTTTAGTTTCCATAGCAATGGAAATGCATGTAAAGGATTTTCAGAAGTTTTGCATAAATATAATGAATATGCAACAAAACTTCAGTTTAGTGGACCAACAAATTTCGAACCAATTATAAACAAAGCAATAGAAATTGTAAAATTACGGAAATCATATCATATACTAATTATCATAGCAGACGGTCAAGTTACGGAGGAATCACGAACTATTCAGGCCATCGTTAAGGCATCGGAATATCCTCTGAGTATTGTTGTCGTTGGTGTTGGTGATGGCCCATGGGATATTATGGAAGATTATGATGATTTTTTACCGAATAGAAAATTCGATAACTTCCAGTTTGTAAATTATCATTCTGTTACGTCCAAAACAAAAAACCCTGATGCAAGTTTAGCGTTACATGTTATGATGGAAATTCCACATCAGTATAAGATTATAAAAGCTTTAGATTATATAGAAACAATACAAACTGTCAAGTCAGATCTATGACATACAAAAGGTTTAGATTATATGGAAACAATACAAACTGTCAAGTCAGATCTATGACATACAAAAGGTTTAGATTATATGGAAACAATACAAACTGTCAAGTCAGATCTATGACATACAAAAGGTTTAGATTATATGGAAACAATACAAACTGTCAAGTCAGATCTATGACATACAAAAGGTTTTATTTTTATGCCTCATCTATAGAGTAGGGTGCCATTATGTTTTTAGGACTGCATTGGTCCATTTGTTAATATGTTCCAAACAATGTTAAAGTTTTGGTAATTTACCAACAAGCAGTTGGCACATCTACTTGACACTTTGAACAGGTGTTCATCATTGTGTTCTGAACTTTTTGAAAATATGATCAAATAAGGGTTTTGACCCATTTTCATGGTTCATCAATAAGGTTAAAGTTTTTGTTTAAGATACTGTTGCTTACCATGAAACTTAGAATACATGCTCATGATGATGTGAATTTAAACTACACATGCATACATGTATATGCAAAATTAGCATTTGGAACCAGATTTCACTCAACATTTAAATGTGATAGTGGGACATAGTGTTCTATTGACACACATTCTTGTTACTATTTGATCATCCATGTGCATGTAGTCATAAACTGAACATTTTATATCAATCTATCTATAGATTTGGATGAAATTATCTCCCCTTTTAAAATTGTAAATGTTCTAAAAAAATATAGAAAGAGAGAGTTTAAGTTTACAATAGTCTTCCAAAACACTGACGGTAGTAGACACAATCAAATTGTACATTTAATGTGAAAGTAATCAAAGATCTTGTTGATGTTAGTTTTTGTCGAGCCTGCGACTTTTGTCGCAGAAAGCTCAACATAGGGATAGTGATCCGGCGGCGGCGGCGTTAGCTAACTTCTTAAAAGCTTTATATTTTATATTATATGGAAGACCTGGATGCTTCATACTTTGTATATGGATGCCTCATGTTACGAAGTTTCCGTCAGTCACATGTCCAATGTCCTTGACCTCATTTTCATGGTTCAGTAACTACTTGAAAAAAAAGTTAACATTTTTTGTAATGTTAAATTCTCTCTTATTATAAGTAGTAGGATAACTATATTTGGTATGTGCGTACCTTTCAAGGTCCTCATGCCTGTCAGACAGTTTTTACTTGACCTCGACCTCATTTCATGGATTAGTGAACAAGGTTAAGTTTTGGTGGTCAAGTCCATATCTCAGATACTATAAGCAATAGGTCAAGTATATTCGGTGTATGGAAGGACTGTAAGGTGTACATGTCCAACTGGCAGGTGTCATCTGACCTTGACCTCATTTTTGTCGAGCCTTCGACTTTTGTCGAAAAAGCGAGACATAGCGATCCTACATTCCGTCGGCGTCTGCGGCGTCCACAAATATTCACTCTGTGGTTAAAGTTTTTGAAATTTTAATAACTTTCTTAAACTATCCTGGATTTCTACCAAACTTGGACAGAAGCTTGTTTATGATCATAAGATAATATTCAAAAGTAAATTTTGTAAAAAAAAAAATTCCATTTTTTCCGTATTTTACTTATAAATGGACTTAGTTTTTCTGCCAGGAAACATTACATTCACTCTGTGGTTAAAGTTTTTGAAATTTTAATAACTTTCTTAAACTATCCTGGATTTCTACCAAACTTGGAAAGAAGCTTGTTTATGATCATAAGATAGTATCCAGAAGTAAATTTTGTAAAAAAAATTCCATTTTTTCCGTATTTTACTTATAAATGGACTTAGTTTTTCTGCCAGTTAACATTACATTCACTCTGTGGTTAAAGATTTTAAAATTTTAACAACTTTCTTAAACTATACTGGATTTGTACCAAACTTGGACAGAAGCTTGTTTATGATTAAAAGCTAGTATCCAGAAGTAAATTTTGTAAAAAAAAAAATCCATTTTTTCCGTATTTTACTTATAAATGGACTTAGTTTTTCTGCCAGTTAACATTACATTCACTCTGTGGTTAAAGTTTTTAAAATTTGAACAACTTTCTTAAACTATCCTGGATTTGTACCAAACTTAGACAGAAGCTTGTTTATGATTAAAAGCTAGTATCTAGAAGGAAATTTTGTTCCATTTTTTCCGTATTTTACTTATAAATGGACTTAGTTTTTCTTCCAGTTAACATTACATACAGTCTGCAGTTTAAGTTTTTAAAACATTTATTAGATTCATAAACTATCTTGGATTTTTACCAAACTTGGACAGAAGCTACTTACAATCAAAAGATAGTATAGAGAGGAATATTTTTATCAATTTTTTTCCTCATTTTTGCTGAGCCTGTGATGAACAGCAAAAAGTAGGCGAGACACTGGGTTCCGCGGAACCCTTACGAATTTTCATGGTTCAGTGGTTATAGTTTTTGTGTTTTGGTCTGTTTTTCTTATACTGTATGCAATAGGTCTACTATATTTGGTGTATGGAATGATTGTAAGGTGTACATGTCTAGCTGGCAGGTGTCATTTGACCTTGACCTCATTTTCATGGTTCAGTGGTCAAAGTTAAGATTTTGAGTTTTGGTCTTTTTTTCTAATACTATATGCAATAGGTCAACTATATTTGGTATATGGAAATATTTTATTATCTATATGTCAGTCATACAGGTTTTATTTGACCTTGACCTCATTTTCACAGTTCATTGCACAGTGTTAAGTTTTTGTGTTTTGGTCTGTTTTTCTTAAACTATAAGTAATAGGTCAACTATATTTGTTGTATGGAAGAATTGTTAGCTGTACATGCCTGCCTGGCATGGTTCATCTGACCTTGACCTCATTTTCATGGTTCATTGGTCAATGTTTAGTTTTCTTGGTTAATGTTAAGTTTATGAGACAGTTGTAATAAAGCTTTATATTTAGGACTTTCAACATAATATCAGTGATTAGTAAAGAAGGCGAGACATTTCAGCGTGTGCACTCTTGTTTTAATTTATTTTTAAAGTGCCCGTCTTTGTAAGAATCAGGCAATTTTGAAAAAAATCAAAACATGGCAGAAAAAAACCCACTGACCTTACCATCCTCTTTTGAAGTTATCCTCATCCTGAGTAAGAAATGGTAGGTCTTTCGTTTCTGCGTGTCTGGTTATTCATGAAGTCTCTAGATAACTTTTGGTTAGAATGATAGCAAATTATGGAGTTAGCTCCCCTTAATTATTAATTTCTAATGCATTTCAACCAAATTATATCTTGAATTACCAGAACAGGAAAAGGAAACAAAGGTTATCTTCGTGCACCATTATTCCTTTTAAACATAAATAAATGTAAACTTGAGTGGGTTTTTGTTTGTCATGTTTTCACCACTGCCTTTTTCTTAGGCAGATTGGCACTTTAATAATAAATTGACTTTGTTGATATATGCAACGGTTTAAAATAATCAAAATAGTAAAAACGCAGTGCCTGCTAGTAATTATTTGGTAAAATGAATTGAAACAGATATTTTTTGTATTTTTTTTTTTTTTGTATTTTTTTTTTTTTTTATTTTTTGGGGGGGGGGATTGAGTTAATGAGTCAGTATCACGAAAGCAGAAAAAAACAAATATAGGGTTATGATGGGGTCTTCAACAGTGTGTTAATCATGAATCAAGCTGTTTAGTTATCATGAAGGTCAATACAAATTAATGATAGCACAGTTGCAGTGTATGTAAAAGAAAATTGATTTGCTTGTAAATCGTGATTGTTATGTACTGTAAAGCAATACAAGATTTATGGTGTTACTTGACAGTTATATAAAAATACTTATAACTGGTAACATTTGGTATTTGACACTTCATTTGTAACTCTTTTATAGATCTGAATGTACTCTATGTATGTATAATGCAAAAACAATCAATTTATTTAAGACTTAAAAGACCTTTGCAAGTAGAAAAATCTGGGACTTTTATACTAACTAGTTATTATAATAAATTAATATAATAGTCCCAGGAAAATTCAAATTAAGGAAAATATAAATTGTTGCAAATATGTCGGACTTTAATCTTCTTAATATTATGAATTCACCAACAGAGTAAACAAAAATTAAAGATAAATCACCAAAGATTTTGTTACAGACATTCATGAAAATATTGATTGCGATCGACAATAAGTTGGATTTAGTATTTTTGCACAGGCACTGTTAAACATTTTAAACATTTTGAATTTTTTTTTTTAGAAATTACCTATATAATTGCTACAATATCTTTTTTTCAACCTGACAGGGAAATGAATGTGTTTGGATGTTTTTGTATTACGTTTTTAACTTCCCAACTTTCCATAGCGCTGGCTTTTACCTTTGATTAGAAAACACTTCCAATTTCAAATGTTGTCACCAAAACATGACCGCTTAACATTCAGCGTACCCTAGCTTTAAAATTTCCTGCTGACTAATTTAATGAGTCCCATGTTGAAACAGAGGGATTCCATATTCTGTAAGCAGTTGCTCACTTTGACTTGATTCTTCTTTACAAATTGAGAGATGTTTGGATGGTTGATTAATTGGTCTCCTACAAATTACTATGGGTTATTTAAGTACTACTTCTGATGTTTGTTAACATCAGTCCAGCTAAATGGTAAAATGTTCAAACCCTACAGACAACAAAAAATCAAGGGAGGATAACTGTGATCAAGGACCAATTTCAGTAATAAACTTTTTTAAGAAATGACTGCATTATGTAAAATACACAAATGTTTTACTTGATATGAATTCTAGGTTTAATCTTAAGAACAAGAATTTTTCTTGGGTGTGAAAGCAGCCAGCTTTCATAATTAAGTTGTGAGCTACATTAATTCTAACTAAATAGTCCCTCTGGAACAATCTTAATAATAAAAATAGTAAGAAGTAAATGTGACAATATTAATTACCATAACCACATAGTAAATTTACCGTGGAGTTTTGATGTATCTTTTATTATCTGACGGCAGAACTTAATTATACCAAATCCATAGATTTATCCCACAATAATACAACAGGCACATTTGTTTTCTATATAATTTGATGCTAGAATTGATATAATTATTTTAATAATGGAAATGTTTGCCTGTCGTTCCAATGTTCTTTCATATTAATTGTTTTGGATTTTATTGCCTGCGAATATTGATGATATCTAAACATAGAAAGTGACCAGTACAAAGTTCATGGTGTTAGAAATGATGTTCAGAACTAACAAAGGCAGGAATATTACAGCTGTTTTCTATTCGTTTGATGTGTTTGGTCTTTTGATTTTGCCGTTAGTTTACATGTTAAGGGACTTTTCGTTGAGAAATTTCCTTGGAGTTCGGTATTTTTGTAAAAAAAAATCCTCCTTAACTGTAATGTACTCTGTCTTTAAAAAAATACCCATTGGAAATCCTTGTATTCAATTTTATTTTAATCCAGTATTAATTAAAAAAAATAATATGTTCCTTTAAAAGTTTATCACAAAGTATACATGGTGAAATCTATACAAACATTAAAATTAAGGAATGAAAAAGATTGTTTTTATAGAACAATAATTTATAGTATAATTGTTATGTGATATATCATTTTAAAGCTAAGGTTCTATCATCTGTAACTGGTTTACTTAAATATGTATATGAATAAACCTATACATTAGTGCTCCCTAGCTAGTCACTGTTGATTTCAATGAAACATTTAAACAATTTTAAGTACTTCATGGTACTTTTAACATCTTGCATAATATTTTTATGTCCCCGCCGTAGTGGAGGGGGCATAAAGTTTTACCCTTGTCCGTCTGTACTTATGACGTACGTCCCAACATTGGTTTCTGTTCTCTAACTTAAGTTTGCCTCAACCAAATGTTATGAAATTTATACACAATGTTTATTACCACAAAACACAGATCAAGTTTGAATTTTGGTGGCATCACTTTTACCTTTCTAGAGTTATGCCCCTTTACAAATGGACAAATTGCTGAATTTTTCGTTTCCGTTCCCTAACTTTAGTTTGCCTCAACCAAATATTATGAAACTTATAGACAATGCTGATTACCACAAAACACAAATCAAGTTTGAATTTTGGTGGTGTCACTTTTACCGTTCTAGAGTTAATGCCCCTTTTAAAATGGAAAAATTGCTGAATTTTTTGCTTCCATTCTCTAACTTTAGTTTGCCTCAACCAAATGTTATGAAACTTATAGACAATGCTTATTACCAGAAAACTCAGATCAAGTACAAATTTGGTAAGCGTCACTTTTACAGTTCTTGAGTTATGTCCCTTTATAATGTTATATGCAAGCGGGGCCATCATCTGCTGTGCCCCATGGACACATTCCCCATTTATTTTATCTTAATGATCTTTGGGGGTTTTCCATGTTAAAATATGAATATTTTATATCTAGATAATTAATCAATACATGTAACTTTAATTCAATGACATTAACTTCAATTTTTTCTTATAATGCAAATGTCAGCTATTATTTTTCTGATCACAATGATTTTAGTCAGTTTATGGGTTTTAAATGTAAATTTAACTTGAGAGATGAATAACTCTCGATATTCTCAATTTTGTTATTCAACCAGGAATTTTTAAGTAATCACATTTGAAAATCATTCTATATAAATATTTTATTAGTTAATTTTATCATATATATGTGATATACAGACAGAATGTCAGTTAATTATTTTTAACACTGGATTATTATCAGAATATTTATGATTGTTCTGAGAGTTATCAATATAAAATAATTAAAGTAGATGCATTTAAATCTGTCATGAATTTATGAGTGATATACCCAGAACCAGTATGTGTCCAATGCATGTGGTATTAAACTCATAAGTTTTATGCGTATTTAAGTTCAGAAGTGAGTATTTTTTTTGCATTTATAATATTCTGCATATTTCCTGTCAATGGGTTTGGGGGTAATATGATAACGTTTTACCATTATATGATCTTGGTTTCCTTTCTTTACACTAGACATTAAGCAACCAACAATCAATCAATCAATCCTTTCTTTAAAAACCTGATTAGGCTAATGAGAGTAATTGCTTGAATTTGATGCTGACAATTTTGTCTTATTTTAAAATGTACCATGTCCATTTTCCAATGACAGCTTTCTATTTTTCAAATTTATAGAAATAACTCTTGCTCAAATTATGTTAATCTAAAACTCTATTGTAGAAGACCCTTTGTTGACCTCTATATAGGATATTTGTGTTGATGGGTAACTGTCTGATTGATGTTTACCAGGGATCTGTGATTAATCCTTAAAGAATGACATTGTCTGGTCAGATTTTTATGCAAATCTATATTTCAGTCAAAATCTCTAAGACAAGTACAGAGAAATATTCTATCTTGACAACCCAGCTCTTAACATTGTGTCATGTCTTATTATCAAAGCTGTTTTAGAAGTTTTTTCTTTTTTGAAAATTATGAAGAATTAATTAAAGTGATTTTATCAGAAATATGTTATCCATAATTAAATTTTCTATCTGCATTTTTCTATAATATTTGATTTAAATGACCACAATGGATTTGATACTTTGTAATTGTTTTATTTAAGTGACATGTTTTGTCAAGTTTTGGAGCCTGAAGTATCATGCACGCTTGGCTCAGTTGCTTATTAAAGAAGTAATTATTATGTCCATATTATTTATAAATAGATCACTACTAATTTACTTTATGTTTGTTACAGGGAAGGTATGATTTAAGTTAAAACAAAATTTCAGCTACAACTATCCTGCATTCAAATATTTTATGCATATGTACTTTAATAAACCATTCCAGTGTTATTTTGAAATATATATTTTTGCCTGTGTTACATGTAAAGCCATCAAATGACAGATTGATTCAGTTAAATAGCAAAGCTATGATAAATCTTTGCTACATGACTATAAATGCATATAAATAATGTGGTGCACAACCATTGCCCCAAAAAATATTCACACATAAGGTGCATTTTGTGGTTTTCTATTCATTTGCAATTTAATATTTGGGCAATGCATGTCAACCTAGCCAAATGTTTTCATTTTTGATAAATTTCTGAAAAATCTCTGTATTTAAGGCTTTGTCTAACCAATCAATCATTTTTCATACATTTCCTTTTATTGACTGATCTGTATAAATATCAGAATTTAAGGCAGCTCAAACTTTAACTAATATGAATTTAAATTGAACTGCAAATCATACTTTTTATTTAATGGAAATTTGAAAAAAAGTTTATAGTTTAGTAAATTTTTAAATTTTGGACAGATATTATATACTTAAAACATTAACTTTAATAGGCAAATTGTATTTATTAAACATCTTTTATGGCATTTGGAATTTAATTGATAATGTTCATCATTGAAGAAAGATGTAGAAATGTACAGGTTAAGGGGAGATAACTCATTTTTGTTTTTTCTCAAAGTGTAATTCCATTGTCTTGTTTTACATCTCAGGAACTTACCTAAAACTTTCTGTTCCTGTGTAGATAAATCTGTGATATTTTTCTTGTTTTGTTATTTGTGTGATTTATGATTCCTGATTATTTAAAATAAATCATTTTTTTTTATATCTTCTTTTATGAATCCTTAGTGGTAGTTTGTAGATTTTTATTTTTTTTGCGATACAACTAGATATGAATTAAAAGAGACGTGAAATTAACAGGACGGAGACTGCCAAAATATTGATTGACTGTTGGTTGCTTAAACTTTAGTGGCAAATCATAGGAAAAGACAATACAAAACATGTCTATAGGTCAACATAGAGTTTTCAACAGTAGACCAGAGGTTTTTCTATGTCATATGTCAAGCTCTAACAAAACATGTCTATAGGTCAACATAGAGTTTTCAACAGTAGACCAGAGGTTTTTCTATGTCATATGTCAAGCTCTAACAAAACATGTCTATAGGTCAACATAGAGTTTTCAACAGTAGACCAGAGGTTTTTCTATGTCATATGTCAAGCTCTAACAAAACATGTCTATAGGTCAACATAGAGTTTTCAACAGTAGACCAGAGGTTTTTCTATGTCATATGTCAAGCTCTAACAAAACATGTCTATAGGTCAACATAGAGTTTTCAACAGTAGACCAGAGGTTTTTCTATGTCATATGTCAAGCTCTAACAAAACATGTCTATAGGTCAACATAGAGTTTTCAACAGTAGACCAGAGGTTTTTCTATGTCATATGTCAAGCTCTAACAAAACATGTCTATAGGTCAACATAGAGTTTTCAACAGTAGACCAGAGGTTTTTCTATGTCATATGTCAAGCTCTAACAAAACATGTCTATAGGTCAACATAGAGTTTTCAACAGTAGACCAGAGGTTTTTCTATGTCATATGTCAAGCTCTAACAAAACATGTCTATAGGTCAACATAGAGTTTTCAACAGTAGACCAGAGGTTTTTCTATGTCATATGTCAAGCTCTAACAAAACATGTCTATAGGTCAACATAGAGTTTTCAACAGTAGACCAGAGGTTTTCTATGCCATATGTCAACATAGAGTTTTCAACAGTAGACCAGAGGTTTTCTATGCCATATGTCAACATAGAGTTTTCAACAGTAGACCGGAGGTTTTCTATGTCATATGTCAAGCTCTGACAAAACATGTCTATAGATCAACATAGAGTTTTCAACAGTAGAGTGGAGGTTTTCTATGCCATAGGTCAACATAGAGTTTTCAACAGTAGACCGGAGGTTTTCTATGCCATAGGTCAACATAGAGTTTTCAACAGTAGACAGGAGGTTTTCTATGCCATAGGTCAACATAGAGTTTTCAACAGTAGACCGGAGGTTTTCTATGCCATAGGTCAACATAGAGTTTTCAACAGTAGACCGGAGGTTTTCTATGCCATAGGTCAACATAGAGTTTTCAACAGTAGACAGGAGGATTTCTATGCCATAGGTCAACATAGAGTTTTCAACAGTAGACAGGAGGATTTCTATGCCATAGGTCAACATAGAGTTTTCAACAGTAGACTGGAGGTTTTCTATGTCATAGGTCAACATAGAGTTTTCAACAGTAGACAGGAGGATTTCTATGCCATAGGTCAACATAGAGTTTTCAACAGTAGACTGGAGGTTTTCTATGTCATAGGTCAACATAGAGTTTTCAACAGTAGACTGGAGGTTTTCTATGTCATAGGTCAACATAGAGTTTTCAACAGTAGACTGGAGGTTTTCTATGTCATAGGTCAACATAGAGTTTTCAACAGTAGACCGGAGGTTTTCTATGCCATAGGTCAACATAGAGTTTTCAACAGTAGACCGGAGGTTTTCTATGCCATAGGTCAACATAGAGTTTTCAACAGTAGACAGGAGGTTTTCTATGCCATGTGTCAAGCTCTGACAAAACATGTCTATAGATCAACAGAGTTTTCAACAGTAGACTGGATGTTTTCTATGCCATAGGTCAAGCTCTAAATCACCACTTGTCATTCAAAATTTAGATGAGTGTGTCAGAAGTTAGAGATCTACATCAATACTTAATTCTCCTTGTAACAAATTAAAAATAATTAAAATTAACAAAAACAACCACAAACTAGGCTCCTGGCTTGGTACAGGGACATAGGCATGTGGCAGGGTTAACCTAGTTTTAATGAGGTATGAACTTTTCCCCTTTTTAGACCATGTCTAAACTGACAAAAGGTACATACAAGCAGATACAGAAAATCAGAACAGAAAAAGTGCTTAATATAAATTTAAAATTTTTTTTAATAAAAATAAGGAGATGTGGTATAATTGCAAATGAGACAACTATATCCACCAGAGTTCATATGACGTGGATATAAACAATTTAAAAATTTATTATTATAGTTCACTGTATCATATAATAGGTATAAAACATGAGAACTAAACACTTTTTTTTTGGGGGGAGGAGGAGTTGCACCAACTCATTTGACATATATAGGATATGTTTACTTTCATTTCAGGAACAGAATATTATAAGGGGATGACATAGAAATAAAAAATACAATAAAGATGAATGAGCTGGATTCTGTGCAACACGAAGCCTCTAATATAAAATATAAACAGATTAAATTACCTGTCATATACAGAAATTTTCATATATACCTCCATGCAAACTTAATTTACCCCCAGAATTGTATTCTAGAAACAAGTGAAATACACAGAAAAAACCCTATTCATGTACCTGTAAATGGCCCATATATACTATTACCCCACATCTATAACTCATAGATGATGGCAAACATACAGTAGTTGTCGTCTGTTAATGTAGTTAATATGTGTTTCTCGTTTCTCGTTTTTATATAGATTAGGCCATTGGTTTTCCCGTTTGAATGGTTTTACACTAGTAATTTTTTGGGGCCCTTTATAGCTTGCTGTTCGGTGTGAGCCAATGCTCCGTGTTGAAGGCCGTACCTTGATCTATAATGGTTTTCTTTTAATTTTATAAATTGTTACTTGGATGGAGAGTTGTCTCATTGGCACTCATACCACATCTTCCTATATCTATGACATAGAGGATCGATTGAGACAAAGAAACTTACAATGTTTTGGTCATGCTGTAGAAAGTGAACTTTTCAGATAAAATATGGTTACAGTGGAGTCCTTCAAGCAGCTCTTGCAATAGAGGTGCAAGTTCTGAAAGAGTCAAAATACATTTAAGGGATATTAAAAGTTGATGACAAACTGATATTACCATGACAAAAAAACGAAAAAAAACCAAAGAGCATAAAAATACAACTGTTGCATAGAAAAACTAACGTTTGAACAACACGAACCCAATCAAAACTAGGGATGCTATCGGGTGATCTGGAAGGGTAAGCAGATCCTGCTCCACATGTGGCACCCGTCGTGTTCCTCAGGAAGATATTGGTTATAAGCTAGAAGTTACGGTATGGTTGTCCCATGCATATCTTCTCTTATATCATTTGTTTTCAATCATGACAGGAAAACGGAAATTTATTGCTTATGCAAACTTCTGTATAGGTATTTAGAAGAATAACATATATATTCTTTGGAAGCAAACCTCTCACTTTCAATAAGAATTATTTAAGATAACGGATTCATTTGTTGCATTAGTTCAGTAAATAGAACTTTAAAATAATGCAACATATTATTTTGGGGTTGCTTGTTCCTGTAAATATGACTTGATTTCTTGGGAGCGCTTTGCATTGCATGGAATAAAACTGGAGGTCTAAAAGTCACCAAGTTGAGTGACATAGCATACGAGTGTCCGATACCATGGAAGCTTGAAAATATTTTGGAATAGTTCACTGCAGGTTTCGTATATCACAATTATATGTTACCATCTATAATATGCATGTCATATTGAAGACACGAGTATATTGTTGAAACCCCGGGTTCCGTATTGGCTTTTGCTTCTTTGTGTTATTGGGTTGTTGTCTCATTGACGTATTATCCACTCTTGTTTATAACATGCAATGAAAAGCATGTAGTTCTAATGGTATAATAGTTAACAAACAAAAGGTACAAATAAAACCATTATTAACATATTGATAATGCTGTAATAAAGAATATTGCGTAGTTAGTGAAACCAAACACAAAGTTCTGGCCCTTCTAATATAAAATCAAGCCGTCAAACCATCATAGAGGTAGAAAGGAACGTCATAGTCATGAAACGTTTAGTCAGATTTTCACTGCAGGTAAAAACAGGAAAAAAAAACAGTGTTGCTTTAAACTATAGATAAGCGAATTGCTGTTTACTGCGAAAAAAAAATCAGTTACAGTAATTGAAAATAAATTGTATAATAATTCCTGCAGATGGAATTATACTATGCCTCTGCAATAAATTTCTATATTAAGGATAACATTTAGTTACAGTTTAGACAAATTTATCACCGAATTAAAAAAAAAAAATTATAAGAAATAATACATTCATTAAAATCTGAGACGGTGCATATCAAAGCATAATAAAATTACAAATGCACACTCCAGAATGGCACAAACTGGACAATATCATAAACTGGACAATATCATAAGCAAAGGAAAATTAACTATATTAAAGTTAAACAGGCAATTTTACTAGATGGAGATCTGAAGTTTATAAGTTTTATATTATCTTGTGCAATCATATAAGCCAATACATCGTAGGACCGTGTGATGTTCCGCAGCAGCTTTAGTTTCAGTAATATCGTTGATGAATAGTTTGCATCTAGTTCTTTTCTTTATTTTAATTTTAAAGCCATGAACATACTTAAATTTGCTGTCTTAATTTTGAGTATTTCGGTAAAGTGCTTGCGCCAAACAACGAAAACGCCTTTCAGCTGCTTTGTTTAGCAGGCACGAACACAAACCCTGTTTCATGATATTTTCTAAATATCGTATTAGTCGATTTGGAGCTTAACATGTCGCGTATTAAACAACTTTTTATTAAAGAACATATGCTTACCTCTGAATGTCTGTTGATTTTTGTGTCACTGTGTTGGGTAACTGTCTAATTGATATATACCCAACATCTATGTTTATTTATTTAGGACTGACATTGTCTGATGATTTTCTAATGATAATGAATGATAATATTTGTATACACTATAAACACTGTTTTCTTTGACACATTTGACTCATTAGTCTGTACCAAGTAAGATTAACACATCGTGTGTTGTTCGATGTTATTTTATGTCTGATTTTTTTTTTGTCGGCGGAGTTGAGTGTTGGTGTTTGATATTTTCTGTTGTATTGAGCGGTATTTTTGACGATTCCTTTTCTATGTATTGATGACTAAATTTCATAAGCTTAGAAGAATTATCCCGTGAAAGATAAATTCCTGCAGATATGTAGACGACATACTATCTAAATATTCAAGTTTTTGTCTATCCTCAAACTGTTCCTGGCGGCTTCAAGGCGTCATCAACTTGTTAAAGTTTGTGATTAGGTTCGTTTAATGGGTATCTATGGTGGCCGGATAAGGCCATTTCGCGGTTTCGCGAAATCGCGAAAAAGCGAAAACGAGATGTGAAACAATTTCGCGTTTTCGACTTTGTGTTTTCGCCCTATAGAATATGAAAGGGGGACACGCAAAAACGCGAAATGGTCTTATTCGGCCACCATAGTACCCCTTATGGTAAAATACGATATTCAGTTGTATTAGCATTGACACTTTTTATTTCCACTGTAATGATTTGACTCCGCTATTCAGTCGTGGTCTTTTGACTGAAACTTTTGCTAAGTTTACAACTCTTCAACTGTTTAGGTTCTTATACATCCTTGGCTTTCAAATAGTCGGCTTTGAGCGTTCCTGATGAAGGTAAATCCAGAAAAGCGCTTCGGACGCATGAAATTTATAACGTGTTGTTTTAATATTTTACATGTAAGTTTGTGATTAGATAAGTTGAAGGAGTACCAGCTCCTTAATATGATGTCAATGATATCTAGTATGTATACATGTTGTATCATCATTGGCATGTATTATTTCCGAGGAGATTATTTCACCCTACTCAAGATCTTGGTTCATTGAGTTTGAAAGTTTTGGATAGTTTATATGTTTAAGTGTTGCTATTTTGATTTCAGCATAGCAATTCACTATAAAAATTACGTGCAAGCGAGATATATCAATATGTCAACAGTTTAAGTATAAATGACATAATTGAAATTCACACCCTCAACTGTATTTTTCCGGCGTTAGAGATGATCGTGTCCTTTTTGGGGCATTGCTAGAATAATATCACGATTGCATAATTTGGCTTTCTTTGATGGCGATCTTCATCTTTTTTGTTGAGTGTGCAATTCTCAATCGGTTTGATATGCGCATCCTTCGCCAATATATCCATCATTTTTACTACATGGATAAAGATATCACAAATTAGTAAAATCTGTGAATATATATATATTTATCGTATTCTTACGTAACGTAAAGTATAATTCATCAAGTGCGCCTTAATTTGACCAGGGTTGCTACTTTTCGTGCCGAAGGTAGGTGGTTCTCTACGGTAACTCCTCTGCCAATAATACCTGACCGCTATGATATAGCCAAGTGTGATGAAAGTGGCATTAAACACCAAAAATTAATCGATCAATCGAGAGACTTAATTACAAGCCTGGTATCATTGATAAGGTGTAAGTCAAGCGGAAAATATCTCATACCTATTGGATTGAAGTATATAGAGATATCGAACTACTATAAAACAAATCATGTTCAAACTTTCTGGTCTAAAATCTTTTTTCTTTATACGTTTGCAGACGGTGGGATATAAATGAACGTCCATATCCATGATATAATAACTAACATGACCAAATAAACTAGAAAAAAAACTTACAAGAGGTACGAGTCTATGTTATCTTTGTAAACTAACATATATCCATTACTAACTTCTAATCATAATCACAAAAAGAAAGTAATTAAAGTTATGATACTCCATGATCATGATGAAGTGCTGAAATATTCAATATATATGTAATATGGTATAAAATTTTCATGTATAAAGAATAAAAAAATATAAGTACAAATTCTTAAATAAGAACCATGTGTAATGCAGATTTGTTCAATAAAATGTTCATATTTGTTGCATATATCTCACTCTACTATACATGCTATGAATTATTCATTTAGGTGTTTTAAAACCTTTTGGTTCAGAATATACCGTCTTGGCTTTTACTTGTAACATTTTCTGACTGTTAATAACTATTCCTGAGAGCATATTACCATATAAACAACCAGTGTCAAGTCCGGTTGCATATGGATGTTGTTGCAATTTTCGTGAAGCATCATGACCAAAATATACATGTTCAGGTCCTGTCCAAAAAGAGGCCCAAGCCTCGCCCTGAAATGGAAGTTCTGAAGCTATAAAGTTGCCGTCATTATCTTGATATAAGTTTCTTATATGAATAAAATTATCAAGATTTTGTTGTTGAATGGGAATCCCGGGCACTAATCCAGCATGTACTATTAATATATTCCTAGATGGAATAGATATGGTATACGGCAATTCTAGGAGATAATTGATATCGTCCGTGTTTAGCTCCGTGATCCATTTGAATACCTCTGGTATAACATAATTTTGATCATTTTGCCAGTTTAAATAATGTCGTACTATCGCTTCTTCGTGATTTCCTCGAACAGATAAAGCTTCCATCTGTCTAACTTTCCTGATGGTCATTAGATTCCGCGGTCCTTTGTTCGCCAAATCACCCACAAATATAGGTAACATTTTCTTATTGTTTATTTCCAGCCTAGCTAATTCGAGGAGCTGTTCTAGTTCCTCCAGACAACCATGGACATCACCAACAATGAAAATTTCTCGACCTTGTATAGAGACATTTTCTAAAGAAAGATGAAGAGTTTTTGGAAGCGGAAGTTTAAATTTAGTGAACCTTCTCACAGTAGGTATAGGCTTTCTGGTTCTCAGTAGCGATGTGATAATAATGAACAATGATGTCATTGAAGCAATGTACATTTAGACTGATGCACTGTAGTACTCAGATTTTACTTCGTTCCGCCTCTCTTTGGTAAAGGAAAGGTGCAGCTATATTACTTTGACAGCGCCTACAAACGAAATAAATTCATCATAGTAAAATTTCAATGCGTGTTTGTATATAAAAAAGTAAGACCAGGGCGCCAAAAGTGAAAACAAGAAAACATATTACAGTGGCCAAACAATGTAACAAAAAGATATTACCAGTCCGCAAATACAACATAGAAAACCATAAATTTCTGAGCAATACGAACTTTTTTTTGCAAAACTGGGGAATAGTTGACAGATCCTGCTCTACTATTGACACTCATGTTAAAAACCTGATACATCTAATTCATATTCAGTGATAAGGCATCATCCTTCAGCGGATTGATCATGCATCTTGTCCAGCTCTAGGACATTACCAAACCCATACATTTAAACTAAAAGATACGCCATCCCCTTTTTGATATCTGTATTCTAAAAATGGAAAAACTTATGAAAGTGTTTTATATTTATATATAAGCTATTTAAAGGGCAAGTGAAAGTCATTAAGAATAAATCTAAGTATGAAGGAACTTGTCCGCTTGGTTACCCCTGATAGCTTCATGTGGTAGCGAGTACATTTTGACCCGCCATGACATGTCCAGGCTTATGGCGGTAAACGTCATAATGAGAAAACGTCGATGTTAAGTCACGTTACGTAATCGGTGCACCTGTTATTGAATATCCAATTGTTTCATGCGGTAAAATAAAGTTTCATTTTTCCATGACTTGAGGAAATTTGAATTTTATATTAAGATATACAAAAGAATCGCGTTCTAATCTCATACAATTTATCTTTTAGATTTCATTGCGTAAATCACTTTCTCCTGAATCTTTAATATGCTTTCGATTATACAAAATTGTTTAAATTATATCACCATTGTGAGATATTATTTAGAAAACTAAAGTACCGAAAAATTATAACTGATGTGTAAATTTAATCAGATTGTAGCATGAACACCAAGTATTAATTTGGAGTAAATCTCATTGGTTTCACGTTGTAAGGGAAAATATGAACATATGTATGGACATATACCGGTAAATGTAAATCAAACAAGATATACCTGCCCATTGGGACCCAATAGTGTCTCATCCCATGTTCCTTCCTAATTTTTTTTTTTTTTTTTTTTTTTATCTATAGATATAAGAAGATGTGGTCTGAATGCCAATGAGACAACTCTCCGTCCAAGTCAAAATTTATAAAAGTAAACCATTATAGGTCAAGGTACGGTCTTCAACGCGGAGCCTTGGCTCACACCGAACAGTAAGCTATAAAGGGTCCCAAAAATTACTTGTGTAGAACCATTCAAACGGGAAAACCAACGGTCTAATCTATATAAAAAACGAGAAACGAGAAACACTTATGAACCACATCAACAAACGACAACTACTGAACACCAGATTCCTGACTTAGGACAGGTGCAAACAAATGCAGCGGGTTTAAACGTTTTAATGGTACCAAACCTTCACCCTTTTTCTGAAATAATAGTGTAACATCACAATATAGAAAGACACACTATAAAATATCAACTGAAATATGACTGTTTTAAAACTACATTAAAAAGATGAAAGTGTTGTTGTCCTTACATTCCTTTCACATACTTAACTGGTCCGCCGTTCCATCTATAGCTTCGTACCGTCAGTGTAGCGATAAGTGAACACAACAGGGGTCCAGTTTATTTCACATACATGCCCTAATGTTATTGATCATGCTGTTTGACTGTTTCATCTTTAATACTCTGCATTATTTTATTTTTTTTATTTTAATCACTTTGTCAGGATATATCATTGTACAAATTGAATTCACAATAAGATAATAGATGAACGTTAGAAAGCACATTAAATAATACACAGCTCCTTGATGGTTTATCATATATCTTGGTATTCATTTTCTTACCATTGATGTAGTTTTCCTTACGAAAGAAAGAAACATGTTTAATTCATTGATATTATTAGATTACATAATCCGGTAATTATTGCTATGGCAACCGAATTAAAATTCGTTACATTTTGCTTAATTAAAAAAGACTTGACCCTCCCTTTTTTTTTGAAAAAAAAAAGTTTCAAAGATAACTATAATGATGAACATGCATGTGAAAAAATGAAGAAAAACATAATATTTTTTTATAAAATCGAAGCTAACAAAAATGACCATAATTCTGTTATTTTGCAGAATCTAGCAAAATAATTTGTCAGGGTGTTTTGAATCTATGTATTGTGAAACTTCATCAAAATGCAAAAAAACATATTTTGACCCTGGTACCTCCATAAACCTGAAAATCTCATGGCTGGTCACAATTATTATTTCAAATTATATGCCGTTATTTTGTTTCTTGTTCCAGTAAGGGGTCATTCTGTTGTAATCCTATCACAATTTGAGCCTTTACCAAGACAGGCTATCTGGACTATACACCGTACCCTCATTCTTTAAATCGAATATTGTCTACCTATTACTTAAAGTATCATGGGCCTGAAAAATGGACGTATATACGAACATTTCACGTAACTCACTGAACCATAAAATTAGGTCAAGGTCCGAGTATAAACCTGTCTGACGGACATGCTTACATTGCAAAGATGCTTTAATTAATATAGTTGTGCTAGAATTATTCGATCATAATAAATGAATTAATATAGTTGTGCTAGAATTATTCGATCACAATAAATGAAAACACCGTGGCCGCGCAATAAAAAAAAACTAGCATATATACTGTTCTTTAGCGGTCACTGAACCATGCAAATGAGGGAAGAAATCGAACAACGGGCATATGTCAGACGGAAACTTCAAATCATTAGGCATCTATGTACCAGATATGTGTCACCAAGTACCTCTATCTTTAAACAAAGAGCAACGCCGACTCGCTGACGCTGCCCGCGGGATAAGCATCTCAATATAAAAATAAGAAGATGTGGAATGAAAGCCAATTCCAATATGACGTTCTGCAAACGCTTTGAGTACACATCCGTGGTAAAATGTGAATATATTGATATGTCAGCTGATCGTCAACCGTCATGGATTGTTTGGGATGTTCAAATCTTACTCGTGTTGCTCAGTCTTTAGTTTTCTATGTTGTGTTTTGTGTACTATTGTTTGTCTGTTGGTCTTTTTCTTTTTTTAGCCATGGCGTTGTCAGTTTATTTTTGACTTATGTATGTTATGGTAAAGATAATTAATCACCCAATTCATAAATTAGATTTTAGTTTGGGTCAACTAAATTTATACGATATATTTGGTTTACAGTTTGATTTAGAAGAAACACCGACATAGCTAGATACTACTATTAATAATCTAATTACTACCACATTTTATATTAATTAGTATTGTAATTTTCATTGTTATTAATAAATGTTATATGAGTATTATAAACCAAATCTTGAATTCTATCCTAATTCTATCCTATTTTGGGGAAATTTCAGAAATTCAAATGTGACGTAACTTTTTTTTTTTTGCGTTGATCTCTTTGGCTAACTCGGCTGTGAATTTTTATGTGCTGGTTTATGTTGTTTTATGTATCCGTTTTTATTCTGTAGTTAGTCACCACTTCGGTGTTATCATCTATATCTATTATATAGTCATTTTTATAAATTTACTGTTTGCAAAAGTATGAATTATTCTAAATACTAAGGATTTTCTTATCCCAGACATATAACCTTAGCCGTATTTGGCATAACTTTTTGCAATTAACTTTTGGTCCTCAATGTTCTTCAACTTTGCACTTGTTTTGGCTTTCGTACGTTTTTGATCTGAGCGTCACTGGTTCGTCTTGTGTGGACGAAACACGTGTCTTGCGTATTAAATTTTAAACCTGGTACATTTTGTTAGCTATTATTCGTATGTTTCTCTGTCCTACATGTATATAGTCTCCCATTTATTTGTATTGTAGTCCTGTCATGTAATGTTGTCATTTAATGTTATATTTAACATTGCCATAAAAGCGGGAGGATTGGCTAGCCACAAAACCAGGTTCAACCCACCATTTTTTTCTTAAAATGTCCTGTACCAAGTCAGGAAAATGGCCATTGTTATATTATAGTTCGTTTCTGTGTGTGTTACATTTTAATGTTGTGTTTCTGTTGTGTCGTAGTTCTCCTCTAATATTTGATGTGTTTCCCTCAGTTTTAGTTTGTAACCCGGATTTGTTTTTTTCTCAATCGATTTATGAATTTCGAACAGCGGTATACTACTGTTGCCTTTATTTATGAGTTTGAATGTCCCTTTGGTAATTTTCGCTTCTCTTTTACTCTAACGTCGTTTGCTTTTTTATGAATGAGTTACCCGAGGTCTGACGGTGTATATATAATGTCATTGAATGATAACATAAGAATATAAGCATTCTACGGGAAAATGCACGAATGTGAAAAAGTCGTCAAAACATGAAAACAGAAACAAACGGTGATAACAATTTGTTGAAATCCAACTTTCCCGATAAAAGTAAAATAATTAATCAATTAACTTCATCCAAACCTGTCTTAGTATGTCATTGTAAAATCGTTAAAGCATGTAATGCATGTCACCATTCTGTGTTCGATTACGGGAACAGTAAACATTTCCCTTCACATAGAGAGCTTCGATCCAAAAGAATCGCCGTCTTTGTCCTATTAGAATAGAAATAATTCATTGGGGTTTGAATTTATACTGATTTTACCACGGGCTGGCCCTGTATGGTGATATTTGACCCCTCGCTATTGCTCGTGGATAAATATTTATCATAAAGGGCCAACCCGTGGTAAAATCACGATAAATTCAGGTGGCAGGTACCAGCTCTTAGCCTCTGTGTCATTGTCCCACGTAGAAAATTAGTATTAAAAAACTTTGGCTATCTTTGTCACTTCACTGGGCAGTGATAAATAAAAAGATTTAAAATTCTAAGTTTCCATTACACAATGCTACCTTCCCTGTTAACATTGATAAGCAACATTCATGGTTTTACCTTTGTTTGACATGAAAAACCTAGAGTCCCATATACATACTATTTGAAGGCTAGCTATACATTTTTATCATATTTTCCATTGGTCAATATTGGTGGTTCTTTAAGGACACTGCAAA